CGAAAACAAGGTCAAACAATTTATATACAACGGAAGGAGACTGCGACCACAAAAAAGGCCACACCATCTTAGTCTTATACTTTCGATTAATAAAAGCGAGTTCGTACGGCATTCAAAGGTATGAATGTTTCGAGCTGAGCTAAAGCGATTCAGTAGAGCAAGAATATCAAGCATGTATTTGTTTAATGTAGATTTTAAACCCATTTTAGTCTATCAAAAATCTGCTCTTTAGAGACCGACGACAGCATGGTTAAACTCAAAGGAGATGGAACGAAAGAAATTTGAGGGACTTTTTTGGCAGATTAGGAAAAGCATATACGTAGTCACGAGTTTGAGTCTCTATCAACAAAAGAATAGAGCAAAGGAAATGGTCAGATCAGTCCTTGATACTATAATAAGGATTTCGTCATCACAATCCCAAGATGACAGTCATAGGAAAACCTAGCTAGGGCACTATTTAAGAGTATATGACGCAAGATTAATGATATTGAATTTCCATAATATTAGAAAGGAAAGATTGCCAAACGAGGAAAATCCAAACAAGAAGGCTAGAAGCTACGTCAGAAATGAATGATAAATATTGTGAACTTAAATACATGAATGAAATGGAGGCATCTGCTAAGCTCTGAATATGGGACAGATAATGTAAGAGCAAGACTTTATAAATTGAAAGGCCTACGGACGACCCAATAAAACGAAATTTACGATATTTTTATTAAATAAGTCGAGAAGAGGGCAGTAGAAAACCATGAAACGACCAAGCAGTTAAAGGATGTCAAAAGTGCTGGAGCTAAGGCAAAAAGTGGCCACTAAACAGAGTAGGAATAACGAGACAATGCTATGAATGTAAAAACAACAGAGGTGATTCAATTAGCTGAGATAATGAATGCGTAGGAGAAAAAAAAGCGAGCTGAGCCCGAATAGACTGGGCACACACAGGATGATGATCAAATAAATGTAGTGCGAAAGGGACTAGGAGTGTCACCTGACAGGGGAGATCGATCACATGCAAATGAAGTTTGAAGGCAATGTCGAGCCAACCAGGAGAAAGACAAGAACGAAAACAGTTTGACGCGACCACGGGTCTGTAGGCGAATCAAACAGCCCGCCCTGCTTTTCATACATCCTTTTTGATAGGCATATGGGATAAGGAATGTATGAGTAGTGGTCGTTAGAAGAGCAAGAGGTACGTTTTAGCTGGAACAATTAGCCGACATGAGAGAAGCAGTGGGAGGAACGATAGGTTGAATATAAAGCTCATAATATTCATCCAATACACAAAACAAAAATAGGCAGAAGGGCGGGCATATAGTTTCGCACTAACGAGCATTCGCAGCCATACACGCGGTTGAATGCGTTAGGGCATGCATACTGGTACGTAAATGCCATGTGACAGACGAATTAGAACAAATCGACAGACGATTAGCTGGCGCATTCGCTGGCCCATTCAACAGACTTTGCGCATACAACGCGCGAAAAGACAGGATGCCGTCCAAAGGCAAGGCAGGTTCCAGGCAGCGCCATTAAGAGACGGCAAAATTTGGGCCAGGCCATCCTAAGAGCGAGACGAAAGAACGAGAGTGAGAGCAAATGGGGCCGCCTGATTGAAGTTGAGAGTTAAGAGAGTCTATGCACCGAAGTGGCAAACAAGCGTATATTATGAGAATTGAGGTAATTGGCCACCTTGGACGGACACGGATCAAGCCTACAAACAGACACAAGCGATACGGGACACAGGTCATCAGCCATCAAGAAAATGGAGGACAAGATAAGGAAATGGGAGAACATTTTTGTCAGAAGAGTAGACCCATTATGCACAAGCAAAATGTTTTGCGTCCACAAGCGAAGGAAGTGGGGTGATGTAAAGGACAAACAGCGATACCGTCTAAAGTGATTCAGATATAGCATGAAAATAACTTGTCTTGAATAGAGGCTAAATAAGGATATATCTAAGCCAGGCTAGCGTGTTTAAGTAGTAAAAAACGAACGAAAGATTTCCTTACCAAGCGTATGTGAAAGACAAGCATATACATCGCCTAAACAGCCTGACAAGGAGGTTAGTGCGGACACGAAGGATGTCAGAAACAATACCAGAGATAGAAAGACAGTAGATGAATGAGCCATACATAGAACTGGCACGACAGCGAGCGCAGGTAGGATCGATAGTCTACGCACCGAACTCAATACTCCGCGACGGATATAGAGGACATAATAGCGGATGGGAGCATTGGAATAATTGTAGGCCCAAATAGAAGACATAAAGTCAGGACCACGTAGACGTAAGTCTGCATGAAGATGTGGAGACTGTCTGCTACCTTTGGGCATAGAGAAATTGTTTAATAATAAGCAGCTATGCAAACAAAGTGGACAAGCGAACAAATTATATGCGCATATATTTAAAAAGAGAAACATTCATGCACATCAAAAATCAAACCTCCATTAATTGTCAAGGTCTTCGCACTTCTCTTGATATGCACGGGCGTAATGCAGTGGAGGTAACAATCCTGAAAGGCGATTTGGCGTTCTAACATGGAGTCTCGGTTGAACGTGTATTGCTAGCCTAATACATTTGTTTAACTAAGACACTTTATAAAATAGATATGCTTCGGTGTAACCTTTACATGTAAAGTGTCATTAAAAACAGATACAAAGATGGTGAGTAGCTCGAATTTAAAAATTACACAAAAATGTTCCATAGGATAATCACATGGAGGAATGGAGAGGATATATTGAACAGGGGGAACCAGGTTATAGTCCAGGAACTAAGAGGAATTTGCTAGGATATAAAAATGTAGATGATAAAGGAAAATAAATAGAGGATCTGTAGTAGAGGGAGGTTCCCGCTTTATTCTAAAAGACTGATAATTTAGCTTTAAACAAGAAATAAGAAATATAGCATGACAATATGCGAGACCTATATGAGTATTTTGTTCAAAGCGTAATGGTCAATTAGATAGTAGAATACTTTAAAAGAATAAGCAACGAGATGAAAAACAATTGGTAAAAAAGCGAAATTCATGTCGACGACGATCTCGTATAAATACAATGGCCAGACTTCAATTTGGAAATGACAATAGGCGATAAAAAATAGAACGTATCTAAAGTAACTTATATTTTCATGTCGCGCACTTCTAATATGCTAAGACTGGGGATCCGATTTTTAAAGAGCAAAAACACGATGTATTATATTATGAATACATACAAAGGAATAGAATAATAGGTCTTTCATTCAAAATTCTAACTTATCCTAATCACACTGAGTAAACAACTAATTTAGACTTCGCAATAGGTTAAATGCAATGCTGTGATTATCTAGCAGTCACTTAAAAAGCAGGAAAAATGTGGGAAAATATAGAACCAGTGAGAGGCCAACAAATTATCCCCACAGTAATATATCAAAAGAAAATGCCATATAAGTGTAATTATGTCAAATATCTGAGGGTAATTAATTAGGCCTGAAACCAACAAATTTGATTAGGTTATTGTATCTTATCATGTGGGAAGGAAAGAAAATCGATTGCAATGCAAGAACATGATAAGTAGCAAGGTGATAGAGTTAACTTTTACTCTAATAATGGATCAAAGTTAAGGATACGGAGATATCACAAAGGTGGTAATCTTAAGTTATACAGACCAAATAGGAAACATAAAAAATGTAACGAAGATATTGGTACTCACCTTTTGATGTCTGAGGAATGTTTTGCAGATGCGAATGGAATTTGTGTCTCCTCTTGCTTTTTCTACCCCTTTTTTTTACAGGTGCAAAGGAATCATTTAACTCAGGTTCCAAGTAAAGGGTTTCATCATCAAAATCACTGTCAGTCTCTAAGGCAGTCCTTTTTCTAACTTTTGGAATAGAGAGTTGTCCAGAAGCCTCAGATCCACTTGGTGTAGGAAGCGAATTGTTCGAGTTGTTTGATGTCCAAGTCACAGGTGGGCGACTATTTAAGTGAGAAGTTGGAGCAATTGAAGATAAAAACTTAGCATTTTTGGCAGCTGCCTGATTGGCTCTATATTCTTCCAACTCGTCAAGTGCTTTTTTGAGAGGCGGAGTCTGCCTAAGCCCTAATTCTGAAGCAGTGAAAGAAATGTTAGCCGCTCTTGATCGCAAGACAAATTCACGTTCATGCCGCCAGCCAAAGCATACGACTTCATAGCCATCTGAATTTTCAAACAGAACTTTACAAGGCCGGAAAGAAAAGCCGTTATGTTGAAACCAAATGAGACGATGTGGCTCACGGCAAGCTGCAGTCAGCCGACTAACGGCATCTTTTTGCTTCCCAGTTTTACCAGGCTTGGAGCGCATATAACAATCAACACAGAATGTTGACTCTCGCATCTCGTGACGAAGTTGGGATCGAATTAAACGGGCCATATTGTTCATAGAATCCTTAGAATGATAAACTACGGCTGCATTATGTACCAAAATGTCCAGATCGGCAAGGAGAGACGAGCGATTGGAGTAGGAATTAGGATATGGACATGGAATCCTCAATTTTTCAGAGAGTATCCGAGTGTTCAGTTGTTTAAACATCAAGAACGAGTTGCGAGAAAAATCATCTAGATAGCCAACTTTTTGCATGTTTTTCCAATGTAACTTGTGCTTCATTTTTTCAAGAGCAACTAAAAATATTTGATGAAGATCACCGACTTTCTCTTCTTTGTAGGAACTTGCTTCAGCGAGGCGTCTGCACACGGCACAAGGTCCATTCGGAGGAAAATCTCTAGAATTAATAGGCTGTTTGTCTCCCAAGCATTCACGAGGCAATCTGTTCGTTGCTTGAGAAGCCTCAGCATTCTCTAGGCAATCTGCGTGGTAGACTCGAAAACAAGTTGGACAGTAAATTGTGCATCCAGGAAGATGGCATTCAAAACAATACCTAATATGAACAAGGGTGTTAAGATAAATCAATTTATAAGTAATGAAGGGTCGAGGCAAAGAAATAATGAATAGAAACGCATAAGTATAATCACGATGCTAACGAACCAATCGTGCTTGGACGTCAAACATGAATCAAAAGTTGTAGGAATTGAGTAAACATCATCTCTCAGAATGATGCTACCATCTCCAACACAATATATTAGCTCTTGCTGCACCTTTTCAAGAGTAATCCTATCGTCACCAGAGTGTAATATGTTGTATATATTGATTAGACTAGCATCGGTAGCTGATGACTTGCAGCTTTCGACTGCGCTCCAAATATATTGCATGAAAACTGGATCAGCATTTCTTATGCGAGACATTATTGTAGTTTAAATCACAGATAGAGCAAAGGGCATCGGACACAGATGTAGTATCTACCAGGCGCCTCTAGCGAGGCTAATGCAAATGTTTAAAACAAGCATAATAAAATAATCACTTAAGCAAAGATTCAAAATTATATGCTGTTAATTGATTATAATATTTTTATAATTAACGATAAAATACATAAAATTGAATAACCAAAGCATAAATTGGATTAGTAGGACTAACCTAAGTATCTATAAATATAAGTGCTCCGATCACGCTTTCGTATCTTGTTCGTATTTTTAGAGAACCACGATTAGAAGCACCTTGTCCGAAGCCCTCTATTGCAGTAGGTATGATAATTACCAGCGATAAAGGATGGACTTGATACATTCACATACGTTTCGCTGGTATCATATTCGGCGTCGTCAGTGAGATTGTCATTCTCATCCTCAAGCTACAACCTGTCAAAGAGACAAGTGAAGACAACCCCTTTACTTAATTTTTGTTAAATGATTGGGTTATCATTCTTTTTTTGTGTCTTGGCATATCTGCCTACTCCATACTCTCCTATCCCACACTCATCATAACAACTTCTTACTTGTTTATGCTCAGTTCCTCTATAGACATGTCCTTTTTTCGCGAGGTTAGTGTAGCGTCACTACACTTGCTGTTTAACTTGTCTCCTTCCACTAGTTTGCTTATCCAATTCGAGTCTCCTATCCGGATCTCCATAAGCCTGTAGATCCATTCCTTATCTTTCTAGTAGACTCATCTGACTCGATTCCAGAACTTAGGCAATATTTATCAGGCTCTATGCTGCACTACACTGTAGCTTAACGAAGACTGCGACTAAAATAGAGACCATAACATCTTGGTCTTCATATCTACGTAACCCTATGTCTAGCTGATGAAATGGGATTCAATATGTATAATCTATGGAAAGAAATAAGAGCTCTAAAAAATGAGGGCTTTATCCTACAAGATGTATAGCAGGTCCATTCTATTTTGTTAAAAATTTTCATTAGCAAGCAAAGTCAATTGTTGGGTTTAGCTTTTGTTCTTGAACTTGTCTGAACAACAAAGAATCAGGGTCTAACATATCTTTTTCTATGTCCTCTGTCCTGTTATTAGTTAGGCCCTATGTTAGCAGATTTATACTTCATCAGGGACAGCTAAAGGTAATCCCGTTTACCTATTTTTTTCGTAAATCTTTGTGACGCCTCTTTCCTTCTATGTTTCATAGTGCTGCTTCCTCTTCCATCAACTCTACTTCATTCGTCCCGCATATCTATTTACACTTGCATGTACCTTCGTTTATTCCAATTTCCAATTACCAGTTAGCTACTCCTCAAATCATCTTATCAGCTGTTATTCGTTGAAAATGAAAATAACTGTCTAGGTTAATAACTTTAAAACTTTGATTTCGGTTCCTATCTCTGTCATTGTGGAGCATTTACTCACAAAATTTTCTTTGTCAAGGAACGCCCCAAAACAGTGATTCTCGCTCCGTCCA